AGAGAGAGAGAGAGAGAGTGAGAGGAGAGAGAGAGAGAGAGAGAGAGAGAGAGAGAGAGAGAGAGAGAGAGAGAGAGAGAGAGAGAGAGAGAGAGAGAGAGACGAGAGAGAGAGAGAGAGAGAGAGAGAGAGAGCCGCACCCCGGCCCCCTCCCATTCGCGAGGAGGTGAGCCAGCGGGTACGGACGGACGGACGGACGGACGGAGGAGGACGCGGCGAGAGGATGCCGTGGCGGCGTCCTGTCCTCCCCGGTGGCTTCGACGCGCATTTCCTTTCATGTCGATCCCGGAGACGATTACGGAGAGGAGACCCAAACTGGCACATTTTTTGCCGCCAGACGCGCGGGGTTGCCCTGGAAACAGCCAACGATCCCAGACGGATGTTGCCAGATGACTCACAAACAAACGAAACGGACTCGCGCCGCAGTCTCTCTCACACAAACACACAATCATTCAAATATGCGACCACAATTCAAGACAAAGGCAAGCATACGATCATAACAGCATACACGCCCGCACGTAAACACAAACCTACACATCTGTACCCACACCAGTACCAACATCTACACCCACACACCCACACTCAAATCCGCACACGAAACAGGAGACACCCACAGAAAGCCTCTTCCGGGAGCCTGTACCGGAGAATTAGCATCAGTCCCCGAAGCGCGCCGGCGAACTCCCTGAAACATTATCCTCGCAACGCACGCATGGATTAAAGAACACCTTGAATGAAAAATCCGCGAATCCCAAATCCTTGAATGAAAAATCCACAATGCATAAAACTGGCATTTCAATAAACCGGCGGAATATACTGCGAGCTCTCCATCCTGCCTTTCTGTGGACACCAGCTTGACAACTCATCTCGAACTGCAGTAACTATGCAGAAAATATTCACACACACACACACAAAAAAAAAAAAAATGTATATAAATAAATGATAAGAAATAAACAGATATACACCACACACACACACACGTAAAATCCACTTATCTTTTTCACAAATATATAAAATCTAATACTCATGTACATATCAAATTCAATATACAGAATCCATTAAGGCCTTTTCTGACCATCCGAAAAAAGGAGACTTCAAAGCCAGCGACCCACTTCCGGGGCATGAAGCATCAGCTCGCGGCCGAGGGAGTGCGAGACGCGTGGTTCAAGACGCCCTCGAGGGGGACCCTGAGCTGGAGGACGAGGCCTCCGTCCCTCGGGTTTTGGGGTTTACTTATTTTCTTCTATTGTTGAGATTAAAACAGGGATAAAAGGGGAAAGAGATGAAAGCGATGATGGGAAGAGGAGAAAAAGAAAAACAAGAAGACAAAGAAGTCGAAGATGATGACGAAGATGAAAGATGTGATGATTGATGATGATGAAGACAATAACATAATGAAAACGAAATAAAATAAAAGAAAAAATACAAAAGAAGAAAACGACGACACCGAAAAAGACGGAAAAAACAACACCTGGCATCGGGCACATTTCACGCTCTCAAAATATGATGTTTGTCGCTGTTATTGCCGGCCCGGTTGCGAGTAATGGCGCCGCTTGCTCTGTGACGTTATGACGCTGCTTTCTTTCTGTCCTCCTCTCTTCGCTTTCATTCTGCCTAGCGCTATTTTCCCTCCAACTCTTTCTTCTTTCCTCTTCCCCCTCCACTCTTTCCTCTTCCCCCCTCCACTCTTCCTCTCCCCTCCACTCTCCTCTTTCCTCCCCTACCCTTTCCTCTTTTCCTCTTCCCCCCAGTCCTTCCTCCGCCCCCTCACTCTTTCCTCTCCCCCCTCCACTCTTTCCTTTCCTCTTCCCCCCCTCCACTTTTTCCTCTTTCCTCCCCTACCCTTTCCTCCTTCCCCGACTCTTTTCTCTTCCCCCCTCCACTCTTTCCTCTCCCCCCTACTCTTTCCTCTTTCCTTCCCTACCCTTTCCTCTTCCCCCTTCCACTCTTCCCTCTTTCCTACCCCATTCTTTCCTCTTTCCCCACTATTTCCTTTTTATCCCCATTCTTTCCCTCTCCCCACTATTTCCTTTTTTATCCTCCACTCTTTCCTCTTTTCCCCCCTACACTTTTCCCTATTTCACCCCCTACCCTTTCCTCTTTTAGAACTCTTTACCCTTTGCCTGTGTCCTTTCGTTCTTTCTATTTGCCTCATTCCTTGTTTATTCTTTTCCCTATTATTGTCAGCAGACGCCTTCTCCATTTCCTCCTCTTCCTCCTTCTCGTTCTCTCCCTCTCTCTGTTTTCTTGTTTTCTTTTGGATTCTACATACCTCTTTACTTCCTCCGCCTTTCTCTTCCCCTTTTCTCTTTCTAATTTTCCTTCCCCTACATTTCTCCCTATCTCCTTCATTTCTCTACCTCCCTCTCCGTCACCTTCACTCTTTCTTCTCCATCTTCCTCCCCCCCTCCATCTCTCCTACCCCCTATTTTTCATCCATTCTTCTATCTTCCCCTTCCTCCGTTCCTCCGCCCTCTCTCGCCTCTATCCCTTCCCCCCATTCTACCTCCCCCCATATCCGAACATCCGCACGAGTATCCAATCCGACGTGGATAGTTTTCTACTGCGTGAAGTATCGACCACGAATCCAGCTGTTACCGCCTCATGAACAGTCGGGCTCTCCCTCCCTCCCTCCCTCTCTTCCTCTCTCCCTCCCTCTCAACATACATACATTCCTCCCTTTCTTCCCTCCCTCCCCTTCTCCCTTCCTCCACCTACCAACCCACCCACCCACTCCCCTTCCCTTCCTTCCCATCTAACCCACCCACCCACCCTCTCTTCCCTCCCTCCCTCCCCTCCCTCATGCTCAGGGATAGATTTCGTTTGCACCGCCGCG